TGGCAGGGGCGGGAAGAGGTGAGGAATGTCGGAGGAAGGGAGCCTTTATCCGAGAGCTCGTTTGATCTCGTTAAGGGGGAAGAAAGTCTGGAAGCCGTCCGCTGCGCGCGGGTTCCTTAACGCTTTGAAATCCCATTTAATGACAAGTTACTGGAAAGTTTGTTAGGCGGAGCGCCGAGGGGAGCTGCGTTACTCCAACAGTGGGATCGCTGGCTTTTTTAACCACCGAACTGTCAGTTTTTGCAGCACTGAAGAGCGCTAATGAGATTATTTTTTTATTCCTCGCCTTCTACCTCAAGCAGCATCCATGGCATGGTCCCGCTGCCACGCTCCGTGACGCTGCTGGCACACGTCAGTGCTGTCTCCAGCTCGTTTGCTTTATTCGCGTGCAGAAAATCACAGAACGTGAATTTTGGCTGAAGCATGATGTAATCTTTGGCCAACAGAAATTCAGTAGCAGCGTTTCTAGATGGTGGTAAACTCTGCTATTTGGATATTGTTTGAGTTCATGTAATTTTCTCATCTCATCTCATCTCCGTGTTAAAGGCTAAAGAATTCTAGGTTTGTGCAAATAGGAACTTGTGCAGCCCAAAACCAATTTTGCTTTAACCTTTTTGTATCCCCAGTGAAACTAGCTGTGTATATACACTAAGCTTTGGAAAAAATAATTTCAAAGAGGAATCTGGAAGAGTTTGAATTACTGGAAAAGGATTATAGAAAAATTCCTGATGTTTCAATAATATTATTCAATAGCGATAAGTATTATGCCAAATCCAGCTTCAAAGCATTCTCCAAAATTGTTACTCTCTTGTCACACCAGTCCAGAGAAGTAGATGTAACACTATTGACCGATGCAAAGACTGAGAGAGAAGTGAAAAACTGCCCAGGAAGACATGAGAAAGATGTCAGAGGAAAGAAATAAAACCTCGTTTGGGTGGTCATACTGTTAGATTACTGTCTGTTGGCTGCATTTCTTTTTTCACCTAGACCATATGGTCCAGGCTCTTTGAAATGCCTCTTACAAAATGGACTAACCTGGTTCTGCTCACTTACCCAGACAGGATAATCTTGTTAATCTCATAATGGCCCTCAATTTTGAGCATGCACTGGCTTTTGACTTGACTTGTCTGAACAAATGCTCACTATTTCATGGATGCATGTAAATCATGTACTCTTTGCTTCCTTCCCATCATTGTTTGCTGCTTCTTTGGCCTAATACTGTTACTATTTTTGTGAAATTATGCAGCGCTTCTGAGATCTCTTCTGTACAAGCTAGTGCTGGTCTCCTATTCAGCAGCTTTCGCTGTTCTGATTTGCACTGAAGCAACTTGGGATTTTGCTAAGACAGCCAGGTTCACTGCAGGGTAGAAAATCTGCACGTGAATGAAAGGAAGTCATTTAATACGGCACACAAAGTTCCCCGTGGAGAAGGTGCAAACCCAGCACATCAGCTTTCAGACGAAGACAGACACTATCCCGCAGAAAAAGAATCTTTACTTTGTGCAGGCACTCTCTCAGTACAATCTATTGTATTTTTCTGTTGATTTTTTTTGTTGATTTTTTTTCCCCCTGAACTAGTTATCTCTTCCTTCAACTGTGACTTTCTATATCCCGCTCTAGGAGACAAAGTAGCAAGAGTCTGGACCAGAAAAAAAACCCACCATGCAACCAAATTGCAGTCATCTCCACAACATCCAAGGGAGTGGTGATGACTCTTCATCTTCTCAGAGCGCCCACGCAGTGAGGTTGTCGGGAGAGAGCTCATGCCATCACAGTGGAGACGTTCGCATCCAGCTAAACTCTGCTGTGGGAGAAGCCAGAGAAAACGCGAGTTCCCGGCATTCCAGGCGGGGTTCCCAAAGTCGGTCGCACGGACATGCCCACAGCGAAGCAGGGGGGCTCGAGGATCCCACTCCGGACTCTGAGGAACACAGTGGCAGCTCCCTCTCGGAGCTCAGATACCTCCTTCAGTGGCTGTACAAAAGCCTGCCGTGTATCTTGATTCTGTGTGTCAAACTGGTCATGCAGCATATAACTGGTAAACAAATAAGGTCTGAGGGAACAGACCCCCCCTCCCCAAAGAGATATACTAATAACCATACCTGAAATATAATTCAATTTATTTTTAGCTTTATTTTTATTTGCTTCATTCATCAGAAAGAGAGATTTACTAAACTACATTTCAGTGGCTTCTGTTTCCTTTGCTGGCGTATGTACAATGTGCTTAATTATTCTGGCTTGATAGTCCAAGCTATTAATTGTAATTACAAAGGCATATTAGAAGTGGCTGTTTTTTTAACCCAGTTCAGTAATTTTTTTTTTTTATTTTCTTGTGTATAACTGACCCTTTTTTCCTAATAGGCATTTCTCTTGGAATTGGGCTGCTAACAACTTATATATATGCAAACAAAAGCATAGTAAATCAGGTTTTTCTAAGAGTAAGTATCACCCTATATGCAACAAAATTCTGTAAGTTAACAGAGACCTTTATCCATCAATTTTTGAAAGAAATGTGAATGGACAGGCTGTTTTATTTACCTAATAATATCAGGTGTCAAGGTTTTAAGATAGAAGTAAAGTCTTAATGCTTCTGTCAGTGTAGAGCTTCTCAGATAAGTCAGGTTTGCAAAATTCAAAAAGAGGGTTCCCCCCAACTTCGAATATTGAAATAATTTCAACTCATAAAAGCTTTTTTCAATTTATGGAAGAACTTCCTAATTGGATGTGTGGAATCAAATAGCAGTTGACAGTTCAAACTTTCAGCTGTGTCTGTTCAGCCCCAAAGGAAAATATGTTGTTTCTTCAGAGTGGGGTGGTTTCTGGTTGTGCTTTTAGAAAAAACCTCGATACACATAGAAATTGTTGTGTTGAAATGTTAAAATTACTGCTTTGCCTTTCCATCGAGTTCTCCTACTTTATTTGGCCTAAGACCACTAAGATAAAATCCTCTAGTAGTAACTGTTCAGGTGCAGCAGACTTAGTGCTTTAGAGGTAACATTTAAGACACTGATACTGAGATAAGGACTGTAACATGTCTTTAAAATTACCTTACAGGAACGGTGCTCCAAGTTGCAATGTGCTTGGTTACTGGTGTACCTAACTGGCTCGTCTCTCCTCTTGTATTATGCCTTTCACTCTGAGTCACTGTATTACAGGTAAGGAGAGGAACATCTCTACTCGCATCAGAAATTACTCAAATATTAACTGGGAACACTTTATCTGGGCTGCTGCTGGTTTTCTTCAATTGTGGCACTGGTTCCTCTTTCCATTTAATCTCCACTCCTCTTCTGCTGCACGGAACGGGTGCTGTCCTTAAACCCAGTATGTTGGAATTTGCAAGATTAGGCCCTGTACTCAAATTAATGGCACTGCTGTAGCATGGGGAACGCAGCTGGGTTTGATCCATGGCTTTGACCCTTCCGCCTTGCCTTTGGAATATGGCATTCCGGGGCTCTATGGAGTTTGTGTCTCCAGTTTGTTTCTTCCCCCCTTACCATTCTGTAGCTACGGCGTTGGCTGTAAATCAGGCAAAGGCTGCATTGCTAAAACAGGAAAAAAAGCCTGTCTCTAGAGGACAGGGGTTGTGATGAAGATGCAGGAAGGAAGGTTCAAAAACTGAAAGGTGGTCAGAGATCATAAATGATCAGTTAGCAATAGAGAGTTCACTTGCTTAGCAAATATTTTTCCTCTATGTAAACCAGGTTTCCTTTTTTAATTAAACCTGGTGTGATAACCTCAGGTTATGCTTTCCTCTAAATAGGGTGCTCCAGTAACTTCTGATCATTCTTTTTGTAGCTTAATCTTTTTAAATCCTACTGTGGATTTTGTGAACTTCTGGGAGGTACTTTGGATTGTGGGAGTCACAGACTTTATTCTGAAATTCCTCTTCATGGGCTTCAAGTGCTTTATTCTCCTGGTGCCTTCTTTTATGATGTCCTTTAAATCCAAGGTAAGAAAACAAGCTGTATTTTTGCTTCCTTTTGAAGATCCTTTTACAGTAAAATCAGCTAATTATTAAATTTCTCTAAAGAGAAAAGTCTTTTCAATTAAAGGTCCACATATAATCCACCACTACATGGTGGGTAAGAAAACCCTGTGGGTTTCATGTTCTTCCCTGCTTGGTGCTAAGGAAGGTTTGCAGTCTGATCTGAAACAATGGCTTGTATTATGTCATCGGATAAATGGGTTTATTTCTGTCCCTACGTGGGGGGGATGAAGAAACCTTTTATTTGCTGCAATGGAAGACTCTGTATACAGCCTGTTAGCATGGAGCAGCTGAAGCACAGTCAATTTTTTACATGCTCAACAGGAACTGACCTGGAAAGATTTTAAGATCTGCACATGCAAACAGCTGTATTTTCTGTCTCTCCAAAATAATTCTGAGTCTTCTTTTTGATAATAAACTTGAGCAATATTTGTGTCAGATCAATGAATTTGATTAATGGTTTAATTCCTCAAACCAGTGAAGTTCAATGGTTTTTATAGAAGCCTACATTGGTTGGGGGGGTATTTTTATCTGCTTCCTAAGGTGAGACATGCAGAAAACAATTACATTTTTATATCAAAATAGCAAATACTAGTACTGTTTTGTTTTGTTTTTTTTTTTTACAAAGAATGAACAAGTACAGTTTTTACATGACAGCATTTGAACAGGATGCTTTGGTAGGTTTTATCTTTTCAAATGTGCCAGGACAAAGGCTTTCTCAGGGACAACCAATTTCTCTAAATACTGGTATACTGGTTTATAATCAAGATCTCTCTTTTTTTTTTTTTTAACACACACACAAAAAAAAAGCTAGTGATACAATATCCAAAAAATAACTGTTGAAAATTTCATTACACGAGCTGTGACCTAAACTTTGGCTAAATTAAAGAGAGAATCTGATCAATAGTGGCACATCAGGGCATTATCCAGTGTACATTAGAGAAAGAGTACTTCTGCCCTGTTACAAATCTAGTTTTAGAGACAAACTTAAGGAAATAAAGTAAAAGGTAAACTAAATAGTTTTGATAATACATACACACACACACTTGTGCTTCGCAGTTGTTAGTCATTTTTAGGGTGTCACTGAATTCTGTTTACCTATTCAGTGCAGCTACCCTACACTTCTTTCTCCCCCTGCCACCACCACTCTATCACCCCATCCCATACAGGAGTTAATTAATTATCACAAGATAAGGTATCTTACACAGGCATGAAACAACGTTTACAGAAAAACAGTTTGCAACTTACGTCTGTTAATAAAACAATGGATCTTACTGTGATTTTTTAATCCTGAATGCAGGACACAACTCTGCTAATGACAAGCTGATCTACGTGACCGAATTTGTCTTATGTTCCTTTTTCATGTAACTTTTCTTTTTTAATGCTTATGACATTAAGTCTGATAGCATTGTTAAGTAGGTAGGCACCTGACAAAGCCGTCCTATTTTAGCCTATTAACTTGATTTTCTGCAGTACAGCAATCAATTGTGTTAATTATTTTTACAGTTGTGGTGAGACTCATCATTTGGTCTTCATCCTTTTTCATGCTTCATATTTAGTTGTTTCAAGATACTACGAGAGGAAGTTACTCAAAGGAATAACAATGCATCTTTTATCTTATTTTAAAAATCCTTGGTGTTTTAAATCTTGAGCGATTCCTTTGCATGTCTTGCTAGGGCTACTGGTACATGCTGTTAGAAGAACTCTGCCAGTATTACCGTATGTTTGTCCCCATACCAGTTTGGTTCCGTTATCTAATTGGCTATGGGGAGCTGGACAGTGTACTAGGACGGACCCTTGGGATATTGCTGGCCCTTCTCTACCTCATCCTAAAAGTATGTAAGCTTTCTATTCCTCTCAAACTATTTTGCAGTAATTATCATTGGAGGGTTAGAGGCACGTAAACTAACACACTCTGAATGTTCCCCTGTGTCTGAACTGACTTGCAAGTCAGTGCTTCAGTTTAAGCAATACAGCATTCCAAAACTGACAGTACTGGCTCAGGGCACCATATCTGCTTTTTCCTGCACCTCTCCTGGGACTGGATTGAGGTTGCATAGCAAAGAACACTGTTACTACAGGTCCCCTCACATCAGACATCGATCAGACTGTTACCAGATATTGGGGAAGAGAGCTTGCAAAAATAAAGGTAAAATTAATGGCTAAAAGAATCAACAATTTCCAGGAAAGCAGATTTTCTCTCTGCTACAGTATCCTGTGTGATACTAAACAAGTTAAACATAAGGGTTCATACTGGTTGCCTGCTTCAGCAAAGAGCTAATCTGCCCCAAATGTAACCAGACTCATACCTAAGTTCAGCTTTGAACACGAAAAATACTTTGTAATGTTAAGGTGTAAGTCTAAATTGCATATATAAGAATGATGCTGGTATATTTGCACTTGAGTGCTTCAGGTAGGAACCTCGACACGAGTTTTCTTTTAAAGAACAGATGCCTACGGGGAAAAAAAATCAGGCTAAATTCTTAGTTTGGTTACACATGAAGCAACTAAAATAGGGTCAGTCTGAACTATAGCTTTGCTGATGTTCCTGCCAACATCAAACTAGCAGTGAGTCTTCTACCACTGCAATCTGCACAAAAAGCTCAGAAGCTTTTTAGTTCATGGAGAAAAATACTAAACATAACTCAGGTTTTTTTTCCCATTTCAGCTTTTGAGCTTTTTTGGACAATTGAGAAACTTCAGGCAGGTCTTACGGATCTTTTGTACGCGACCAGTGAGTATTGAATTCTCTTACAACAAATAGAATAAACCAAATTTACAAGAAAATATTTCTTTTTAAAAATGCCTCATTCCTATATTACTTTGTATTGTTCTAGCAAGACAACTGCATTTTTAATGTAAACCTTGTATACTTGTTCTCCCATTTCACAGTCTGAATTCTTGACTACATGATTACATTGTCATCTGAACAACAATAAAAACCAACCAAACAAAAAAATCTATTCTGCATGTCTCTCCAGACAAATGTATGTGAAATAACACACCCTTTTTGTCCTGCTTCCTACTTTTTAACTGGAAGAAAGATTGGTGGGATGCAGGCAGAGCTCACTGAAATACAGTGAGAATTGAAGCTTACCAAAATAACTGACATGCCAGTAACTTCAGTTAGAATTGTAAGTTTCTAGATAATCTTTCTCTGTAGTGAGAGTTATTGTTTGGAGTCTGCTATTCATGCTGTAAGAAGTATAGAAGATTTTGAAGCACGGTGGCATTGAACTAGAAGAATAATAAAGCACTTGTCAGACTTCTCCAAGTGCTATCGTGATCAAACTGGAACTTGACACAGTGTTTTGCTCAGAGGTCACTGTTAAAATAAAACTGCTACAGATTTTTCCAGTTACTGTGACCAGGGGGAGATACTAACGAGGCAGCATGGTAATTAGGAGCACATAAGCTTTAGGCCCCAAGACAACTATTAAAAAAACCCCACAACTTGGAAACATTTCATTGGATTAGGGATTGAATAGTTTTCCTGACATAGCAGCCCTTATTCCCAATTCCTTTCTGTCCTGGTATTATTTTTGTGTTTTGTTATGGCTTTCACTCCCCTCCAGAAACTAACACGTGCTGAAAATACCTTGTTTTCCAGCACTACGGAGTGACAGCTAGTAAGAGACAGTGTTCTGAATCGGATGATGTTTGCGCAATCTGCCAAGCTGAATTTCAGAAGCCTATTCTGCTTGTCTGTCAGGTAATACACACAATCAGAATTATTTTCTGCAAATTTAGCATTTTAAATGACTGGTAAACCAAACTACATGAAGTCAGATGAGTGAGTGTGTGTCTTCTGATTATTTTTAGAAATGAGGCTATGCAAATAATATACCGTCTTAGAAATGGAAGAGCTTAGAAGCTCTAAGTTCTCATTCTTTTCATTACAGCACACTTTTTGTGAAGAATGCATCTCTTTATGGTTTAATAGAGAAAAAACGTGTCCACTCTGCAGAACTGTTATTTCAGACCATGTTAACAAGTGGAAGGATGGAGCTACATCTATGCATCTACAGATTTTCTAAAGCATGTCAAACAACTTGTTTTGCAGTTTGTTTGTTCAAGCTAAGGTTTCTCAGTTTACTGCAGATTAAATTGTAGGTGGCACAAGGAACGAGTTTCCAAATTCTAGATACATGCTTCCATGAAATGTTCCAGTATTTAGAAGAGTGCAGAAAATGTTAACTTGACCTTCGTAAGTATAGAAAAATAAGCTTTCAGAATGCATGCAGAAAAGCCAGCATTGCTTCTCTTGTGATTCTTGTAGAAAACATTCAAGTCCTTGAAAAATGCTGCCTTACTGCTTGCAGCAGCTTCCTAATTCAACGTTTTATTTAAAACTTTAAGTAGAGTTTCAGACTGTACTAAATTGTATTTATCCTTCTAACATGACTCAACCCAAAAGGTCAGCCTGCCAATTTTATTAAGATTATGAGCAAATTTTATACTCTAGACTACAGTGAGAATTAGAGCTACTTGTCACACTTGGCATTAAAGGCCTTCTAATGCTAACCTAGAGAAATCAGCTGCTTATTCATGCACCTGTAACAGCAACTATTTCTCACTGTACCTGGAGGTAGGGCACAAGAATAAGACGTTTCCCCTTTAGGTTCTTGCAGACTTCTAATGGATCTTTGGCTTAATACATAAACCAACCACTGATGTTAGTTTTTTTACTTAGCATTTTATAAAGTTGGTATTTTTAAAACAAATCTTTAATACTATATTTTTGTCATAACAGGAACCAGATTTTCATACAGGGGAGAATCTATTTTATACTATATTTGCCATTTGTAGTATGCATAAAAATCAGAGAGAATAAATGCATTTAAATCTATTTGTTTGGTGCATGTTGAATAAAGAAACAAGATTCATTATTGTTTCAGTATTAACTTACATGAAAGCACATAACAGCAGCTCACTGTTAGGTATACTTTTCCTGTTTAACTAATGTCTCTGAAAAACAAAAAACCTCCAAATGCTACAACTTATTCATGATTAGTCTTCATGCTAAGTACAGAGCTAACTTATGTATAATCTCACTTTTTTGCTGCTTGTCTTTTTTCACCTTGCTATTCAGATTAGACTGAAAAAAAAATACACTCAAATTTTTCTGTTACAGCAAAAAACTGAGTTGCCATTAACTTGAGCTTATCTTAACTGAATAGGAAACTTCTAAATTAGGGGAAAAACAGAATTAAAAAGTTAAACACTCACTTGATGAATGATGTAACAACTCAAAGGGCAGTGACTGAGTGCTATAAAGTTGCAGCTGACACAGCCAAATTTATAGGGCTGACAGAAAGTCAGCATGCTGGGAGAGTGCCCCTAAAGGGACAGTGAAAAATGTCACACTAGTAGAATTCAGTATTCTGAATAAAAATCCAATGAGATGGAAGACTCAAGCTAACAGGTGTCATTTTGTGCTCAGCTTGGGTTTTACTATAGCATGCTGAGTATCTGCTAATTGTATTTTTCTTTGAAGCCCACTGCAGTTCAGAGTAACATGCCCTATACTTGTGCCACCGTGGTATCTTGAGTGACTGGGGAAAAAGACTCCAGCTTAAAGGAAACAGGCAAAAGCTTGTAAGTCTGTAATTGGAAACTGATGGGAGTAGCAGCCTGGTTCTCATGGAAGCCTTTCCCAGCAGGTGAGGTGCCTAGTTTGGAGAACGTGCAGCTGAATGGTGTCAGAGCAGTCCTCAGGGCACCAGGGAAGAACTACAGCTTGGCCACAGCCAGAGCTGTGCTGTGATGGGCTTGTGCCTGTACCTCCAGTCGTGCCAGAACAAACTGCTCTTTGTTTCCTCGGAGAGATCTAGCTATGCCTTAGCTTGCGTTTAAAGTCCACATAAGATCAGAACTGTTATTTAAATTTCATCAGTGCCGATACTCAGACTGCTGCTGCAGCAGAACTTCCCTTGAGAGACGGGCAAGAACTGAATCAGTCAAGGAACAAAAAAGAGTGGGGGGAACTTAAGGCTGGATTCTGAATTTCTGATGGGCCAGCAGAGACTTTGGCAGCTCACTTGGCTACACAATCATATTTCGACTTTCCCAACCTTAATCATGAATATACAATTTAGCTAAAGAATGTTTTAAGGTTTTTCCTTCATACAGGCATTGTGTGACTACTGTGTAAACTACCTGAGTGCTCTATTAAGTCAGCAAGTAGCACCTTTAAAAAAAGCTTTGCTTGTGCGATAAAATGCGTGACTTAGCCCAACACATGGTTTCTAAGGGCAGATGTAATAACCAACCTTTTCTAAAATACTGGGCAAAATAAAAATTGTAACTTATCCTGGATTATCTTTTCCTGAAATGCTAATACAAATAGCTTAATTACTTTTTAAGTCAAAAAACCTCTCAGGGAAAATATAAACTAAAACTCATTAGACTTGCACATGATGTTAGAGCAAGGAAATGCACTTCCTAATTCTTGAATATTGATTAAATTCATTGCCTATCAGTAGCGGGTAGCCATTCATCAGAATTTCAGTACTCTGACAGACTTTCAAAAATCTTTTTAGAACAATAGGTCTAAATCACCTAGTCCATTCCTGGAATATTAACTGGGAAGGAACTGATTCTGAGATGCACCAGCTGCTTAACACAAACAGTTGTTCTGAAAGCAGAGCCACTACCTGCTGAGTAAAGGAAAAGATCTGAGAATCAAGAAGGCTTTCTTACTGCCTTATCCCCAAGATGAGTACATAGCAGCCCTGTTGCTTATGCAGCAGGGAATAGTGCAAAGGAAGCTTGCCATTCCATCATGGAATTGAATCACAGGTGACAGAGCAAAGCTGAAGTGGTCCGTCAGGACCAGCAGCTTGGGCTGACAGACCAAAGATTAAGTAGGAAGGTAGTTACAGGTCAAGAAACACGCTGCTTTACATACATACATTCAAAGCATGCAGAGAAATTTGAAAGAAAATAACCTGAACTAAATATTTTTTTGCTATAGAAAAAGAAAAGTCTTTATAAACTACTTACCTGAACAAGCAGTTCAGTATCTGAGACAGATACTGCATACTGAGGAATTAAGGCATCAAGGACTGTTTGCAAGGCCAGCATTAACGCTAAAAAATATGAAGCTAGTTTAGAAGTATTACGCTTGTGGTTAAGGAAAAAAGAAAAAAATCAACAAGTGAACTCGACTGCGTCATCTGGCCTGCAAAGCTCACTGAGACTGTTTCATGGAGGACAACAAAACGTGCTGTCAGTGCTTTAAGTCAACCCTGGAGCACTGCTGGTCTTTTGGTCTTTGTCTACCACACAGTAGTAACACCACCTCAAGGGTGGGTGTTGGTCAGAGATAGTACCAGGGAACAATTTGTCTTTTATTCTGTTTGTTGATCTTTTTTTTTTCCTTTAAGATCCCGTGAAAATTATCTAAAGCCAGTGATATTATCAAACGCATTTTATTAACAAAAGAACTGAAGAGATATTTTTACCAACCAGTTTAGATTTACCCTTCATAAATTCAACAATTCTTTTGTCATCTTAGTTACAGAGAGGAAAAGCAGTGAGTAACTTACATCCAGGACTGCCATCCTCTCTGGTCCGCTTGTCAGCATCATGCTATTAAGATGCAGCTGCTCCTTCCCAAGGCCACTCGGGCCAGGGTGGCTGTCGTGCTTCCCACACCCGACACCCTGCACACGGCTGACTCTGCAGGAGACAGAACGGAGAAGAGGATGACAACTGGCCATCCATAGCCACTTTTTAAGAGCCCAAGAACCCAGGTGAAGGTACCTGCCCTTGCCAAGACAGACCGATCGGAACTAGCATGTCAGGTCCTTTCAGTCCCAAGTGGAATTCCTCTTCCCGCCCTTTCCCTTTAAAGCTGTCACAAGAGACAATGATTTAGACCCACAGTTATACTTAGGGCCCACCTACTTCCTTAAAAAAAACTAAAAATAGGTCACTTGGATTAGCATATGTTTAAATTTGCATTTAATTGCTATTCACATCCATCTTATTCAGCGGTCGAGTAGATTTAGTTCCAGTAAACTGTGAAAGATGGAAACCAGAACAGGGATTACCTTTATTTCTACTGAGGCAGCTCAAGCTGGTTTCTTGAAGACAGCTACAAAGCCAAGTTAATCTAGAAGAGAACAATCTGCAGAAGTTCATACATAGGAACTGCATTCAGTATATCATCAGGGATCTGCAGGAAGAACATTTAAGTAATTTGCCTTGTTCTTAGTAACTTCTCCTTCTTTACCCCTTAGAATAAAGGATTTCTGTGTAAACTGGGAAAATGAAACAGCAACTATCGTGCTGTAGAGACAGAATTTTAAAAAATCAACCAAAACCCAACCCTCTGTCCTAAGAACAACAGAAGTCTCCTTCAACGCTTGATGCACTTTGTTACTAACAGTGAGAGCAGGCTGGGAGTTAATACTAAAAAGAGGACAGACCCAAAGTAAACATCGACTGTGTGGTTAGAGTGGACTCAAGTATTAAATGTTCTCCAGCAGTTCAGCTTTTAGTTAGCGAGACCAAAAAAAAGGGATATTCAAAAGAACAATTGACTCATTTATTTTTATCTTTTATTATGAGCTAATACCAGGATGACATTCAAATGTCAGATGGCACAATTAAGACAGTCTTGGTAGGAATTATTCCAGCATTCCCAAAATTACAATTTAGTACACGAATGGCATCAAATGTATGCATCACTCCCACAGAGAAAAATGATGAAGTTCTGAATATCTTATACCAGAATAGTTTCTGCATCGAATGGGAAAAGAAAAACTGCTGGTAACACAGCTGGCCTATAAACCTTTTGTGATAATGACCTGCAGAACAAAATATTCCCCTATTTAACATCTAGTAAAAAAAAATATGACTTTTGTTCAAGTTTAAGATTTAATGCTTTTATATGGTTAGCCACAACAGGTATTAACCTCAGTTTTACTATATTTTTGTAATGCTACAAAAATCCTATAAAATCAAATTATAGTGAATTTTTCAGTGATTATAATTAAAAAAGCGCAGCTTGTACAAAATAAAAAAAATAAGATTCTATACTCTAATGAAAAATTTAAGACATTTTTAAATGAACAAAAGAAAGCACTTGTTAAGCTCTCCAATATTCAATGCATTCTGCACTTATCTGAAATAGCCAGGCAGGAGCTAGAACTCCACTCCCCTTCGTTCACGACTAGTAATTTTGACACTATTATATATATATAGAGGATCTATGTCTGATATTTTTACAAATAAATACAGGATAAACCATATTGCATAGTGTGTGCTTGCTGTCTGAGTCACACTCCAAGTTTCACAGTTATGGTAGGGAATTAAAAACTTACAATCTATGGGATGAAACGCTGACAGTACATGAAATTTAATTTTAAAACTGATGAATTGTATCTGTAATTAATCAGTGAACTCAGACAAACAACTCTTGCCATTCTTGCCAGCCATATTAAACCAATTCTACCGGACAGTTATATCCAGCCAACCAAAAAGCAACCGTTAGCTGTAACTAGGACCAAGAGAGATCTGCCTCAAAAAAAACTTGGTTTGTTTCGGTTTTTTTTAAACTAAGTTTCCTTATACTTAGCAAACACATTAGGAAACCTGTGTGAACGAGTGGCACAGAGAGGACTGCTTGAAGTGTTGCGCACCTGCAAACACGCGTAACACCAACACACACCAGCACTTGGATTTCAGTTTCACAACGCGTCATCAGCGGCCGTATTGCCAAAGGAAAAACGGCAGTCTGCCAGGACAACTCGTGCCACTGTAAGGTAACTTGATTTTCCTTATAGAAGGAAAAAGAGAAATTTTCCAATGAAAGAAAAAAAAAAAACAAAACCAATTTTTGCTCAATCATAACCATCTTTTTTCTTGGCTCTTTGTTAGTATCAACAAAGTAGCGATGAATCCTTCTGACTCGCAAATTTTAGGAAACAGCACTCTGATTGGATTCAGCATGCCTCGAGAGTTTTATGGCTTGGATCCTATGGCTCAAAAAGATTCAGTATACACAGAGGAAGCAGAATCTATAAAAAAAATCCCTCCTGTTGTGAAACACTAGAAGTAGACCTTGCACAGTCTGACTAAAGATAACGCGATGTGCGGCAGGCAAAAAGTGACAGGACTTGTATGCAGTTGCATGATCATCTACACACACACGCACACACCATACACACTCTAACTAGTGTAAAGCTCTGCAGATATTAACCCTTTCACCAGCTATGTTCATGGAAATGCTTTCTTTAAGGCAGGAAGTATTTAAGTAAGGTAAAGATACCTTTATTTTATTCTTTGTACCTGTAAGTCGTTTGTACAGATTGTGACGATTTCAAAAACATAAATAGTGTCCTTAGAACATGTTTCCTAAATTAAGTTGCTAAAGTTCTGACCCACTGTGGAAGACATTCACTGAAAGGCCGTTTAACACTTTTTCTCATACAATCAGCAAATTTATTGCCCCAGCACAGAAAAAAAAAGTTGATAAATTTAGAAATGTGTAATGGTAGGAAACTCCCATAAGCAAAATTGTATTTAAAAAAAAATAATAATCCTCAAATTCTTACCCACTTGTTATAAAAAGGCTTATTTCCTTACACTATGTAGAATTTGGATATGTTTCCTCTGGTATTTCCTATGTTTCTACTGACCTTGTACTCTGATGCAGTTTCTCCTGACCTTTTACATGGGTAAGAACCTGAACGTGTTGAGCTCTCTCCGCCTAAGTGACTAGCGTATACAAAAGTGATATTTCCCAGTGAAATGTCTGCTGAGGACAAGGATGAAATAAGCAGGACGTGTCTGTGAGCCCATGGCTTCCAGTTAAGCCTAGAACATAGCAGCATTGCCATTTGATTAGATCCATTTGTCTTTGCAGGAACAGGGATTTCAGCTGGGTAAGCAAGGGAAATAGTTCTCTCCCACCCCACATTGCCAAGCTGGTAACTCGAGTGATTCACTTATGGATTTGTTGTTTCACGAGGAGAAGAATCAGAACTAGAGCCTTTAACTTTCTTCACAGCAACCAATTATTTTGCATTTTTCATTTTGGGATACTTTCCATAATGAGCTGAATCAAAAAATCTATTGAAAAATATATATTTTTTTATATATATAAAAAACTCATTCCGTTTTGAATGTGAAACACCAATTATTTTATCGTTCACCTTTGATTCCACCCCATTGTAGGAAACAGCTTAACCAAGCTTGCATGCTAATTATTCCTCAGACGCAAGCAGACAGGCATTTCAGACGTTGCCTAGTGAAAGGGCTAACCCTCCTTGACACATCCACGACTAGACCAGTGATTCTGAAGCAACATCCTGACCCTTAATACTGTCAGTTTCAAGCTACCAAGCTGAAAAATCCTTGATAAGGTGAGAAGATGTCACTGCGAATCAGTTAGATGATGTGCCTAGAGTTCTGCAATACCATTTGCTAAAGTTTTTTATGCACCATTGATTGACAGAAAAAAAATCCATTTTTCTTTGCTTTCCAAGTCACTCTGTGCAATGACTGACTCTTTGATACTGTCACTTTTTAAAAGTAAACCATACAAGCCCTCGTATTTCAACTGCAAGGGGCTTATGTCCGTTCTTTGTTTTCCACCTTCAAAGGCTTAAAAAAATTGTGTCGTCATAGATTCATGCGCAAGTGCTCTGGTCGTTTGGATATCATGGGAAAAGCTTGTTTTTTATATGGCCCAGAGTTTGGTTGCCGGATTGGAAGTGGTGCTGAGGCCTCTCCACAGACTGTCACATCCATTTGTTCTATTCCACTTGTCTCCATTGGATATTCCACAGGTGTCTGAGTATTTGATGCGCTGGCAGAAGCACCTCTTCCCCAGAATTCCCCAGGGGAAAACTTTACAGGGCTTTAAAACAAGAAATAAAAAAAAAATAAATCAGAGATAAAGATATACACAGCACCAAGGTATGTCCTTTACTGTGCAGGAAGCTGAACTCAAATGCCTATTGAGAAGCATTTATAATTCTTCCTTCCACTTCCAGAAGTTTGAGAGAGTTTCCTTGTCTAGCTTCTACCATGGTCTCTTGTAAAGTAAAATCCTCTCATTAGAGTAGTCAGGATATCTTTCTAGATGATTGCAGAAGGAATTTTCTGTACTAATACGATTCTTTAGCAGCACATAAGTACTTAAGATGTTCTGAAACCGTTCTAGAGGAATGGTGCACCAAATTCACCAGACTGTGAGGCTGCATCAGCGTTGAGTAGCAAGCGAATTAGTACTACTTGTGCTGCCAAACACCACAGATTTATCTGTCTCTAATAATGCGGTTTGTAAAACAGGATCGATGCTGCACTTCTAATGGAAGCGATGGGCTTACTGAGAAGAAAGGCCACATTTTTATATTTCTAGTGCAGATCTATTTCAACTACTTGCCAAAAAGTCTATTACAGAAAAAGGAAAAAAAAAAGATACCTGACTGGTGTCCTAGGGCTACCTATGAATCTGCGAGGTGATCGTATTTTTGGTTCAAAAGAAAATTTCTCTTTTACACTTTCAAGTACAGATGGAGCCACATACGTAAAACCCTGCAAAACAGGAATGAATCCACTGTCACTTACAGGCAACATTCACATTCATGAGCACTTGTGCAGTTACGACTGGCATGAAATAGTAAATGAAAATTATAAAAAGGACAGTAAACGCAGACATACGAACTTCTACTCACTTCCTGAAGCAAACGGCAGGACTTTCGGGAGTTCCTCACCTGGGTGCCTGCACACCCCAGATATTTCTGCTCAGATCACAGATTCCCACAGGCATGCTCAGTTTAATTTTGATCTACAGAATGGACATTGTTCTCTCTGCATGACTGTGAAAGCAGCCACATGTCCAGGGTTCATAATGCAGCAATGAATTAGAATGCTGACATTTCAGAAAGCAAGCAACGTTTGTTGGCTGTTATATATATCAAGAAAACGTCAGCAATAATCAAACGTAAGTATTTTCAAAGCCCTTAAACGTTTCAAACCCCTTGCAGAATGTACGTTTAAAATGACGATAGTTTGCTTCCAGCATCGAGTGGTACGATTCCATAGAATTAATTTACCTGAAATGCCCTGCTGTTTCCAGGTAACACAACATACCTCTCCCAGTTACACGCTTGTCCCTGGCTCACTTACCAGAAAGACCTGGTTGGCACTTTCACTGAGAGTAGAGTCATCTGGGCTATCGACAGGTGTCTGACGTGTAAACTTTGAATCAAACTGGCTCACATCCTCTTCAGATTGCTTTGCAAAAACAAAATGATTAAGGGTTTATATTACAGATATCAACCAAATGGCTTAGCGGTGATCAGTGTAGCCTCTGGATGGAGTTCATTCCATAGGTTTTTGGCAGAGCTCTGCTGTAGTAAAACCCTGGAGTGATGTCGGAATCCTGTCGCTGCCAGTGGGAGGTCACTATGGGCACTGACACTGAGAAATAAAGGCAAGGGGGAGGGGCAAAAATTATGGATCAAAAAGGAACACAAATTAAAAAGATGCCTTTAAAAAAAATACTCTCAAATTACAAACAAAAACTTCTAGAAATACAATGCCAGTTTCTTGCAGTTTTAGCCCTTGTCACAACCAGTACAGAACAGTTGCAACTATTAGCTTTTGGAAGCCTCTCCAGATAATTTCATCCCATTTTTGCAGATACAGAAGTGTTTATACTGTGAGGGACAGATGACAACTCTGAAATAAGTGACTCTGATGAATATTGTTCAATTCAGTTCAAGAACAACAGACATCATTCCAAGATCCCTCCTCTCTCATTCCTAAGCATAACTGAAAAAGTCTGTATTCATTCGTACAGGCCTTCATGCAACCATGGAAGCACATTTCCAAAAACCAGCTCGTTTGTACAAGTAACTTTCATAAAATTTGCTGGTAACAGAAAAACCCAGAACTATCTTCAGATGATTCATTTGGAAATACCAGGCTTGGGTCATTCTGAATTTCAATCTATGATTGATTCTATGATTCTGAATTTCACTCAAAATGGTGAAGGGCAAAAAGCTCTGAGTCCCCACGCTGTAGTGTGTTCAAAATTAGTGAGGCCTAAGTCAGTTTAAAGTGAGATTTTTAGTAGTCAGGAACTACTGGGGTGGCAATATCCATTGCTGCTGTAGCTAATTGTACCCAGAGGGAAAAAAACAGACACCTCACACCAGCAAAATACAAGACAGGATAATAGAAGCTTATTCATCACATCATTGGTTTGAGGTAAACTTCAATTACTGCCTATAATGCATAAGATGCATTGCAAATATTAATAAGCAAACATGCAAAATGCCTAATTAGGTCACTTAATTTACTTTTGCTTAGCAACTATTTATCATCTTAGTTTCGACCAAGTACTGACTTACTGTATAATGTTCAGAAGCAAAAACTCAGAGATAATTGCACTTGCAAGTCTGTTTAACCTACAGATTAGAAGCAGGAGGAATTAAAACTGAAGCAGAACTTTCTTCCTCCAGGAGTCTCAACAGAAGAATAAATTAGCTCTTAGCTGATTTTTGCCACCTTCTCACATAAAAAAAGTGAGGTCCTATTCCAGTGACAGATGAGTACCGTGACCAAAGAGTAGTAAGACAGAACAGCACACTCACGACAGCCAGTATTTCATACTGTATGGGGACTTAAAATAAAGAGTTTTTTTTAAAATGTTGATACAGCATCAGTTCTCGGGAAAAAAAAAAACACCTCTGCATCAGGTAGTTTCTTTCTTTAATTTGACAAGAGTGAATCGGAGAACCAGGAACCTAAGTTGATGTACTTAACTATTCAAAGCACCAAAAAAATCAATGGCACTCCAGTTTATAAGAGTGAACATTTCTAAGTTTTAGATTCCTAAAGGCATACATGGAACATCTCACACCATTCTGAGTACGTACCAATAAGGGTTTAAAAGGAGGTTCCACCTTTCGTGCCAACAGCTCATCCCAGTTAATGTGTCTGAAGAACGGGTGAGCCTACAAGAGTTAGCAAGAGCACAGAGTCATAATCCACCTTCTGGGTATAAATCACGGAAATTTAACAATTAATAAGCATGTTCTCTTCAGACTCTCTCCGTGGTATCTTTCTTTCCAAAACCACGTATCGGTCTTGTGTAATGTATTCTGCAGCACTCCATCAGAGCAGCTGGAAGAGCTCAAAATGGATACCGTACTCCACGTCAGACAACACACGTTCCTATCACACGTCCCTATCACGTTTTCCTCGAAAGTGTAAGAAACAGCCAGTTTACATGCAAAATATCTCTACGTTTTTCAGCTTCAAAATTTAGACATCTAAAAATAATGACAAAACACTGTATTAATGACAAATTATCAGAACTGTGGAATAAGAAGGACTCTCTAGTACGCTCAATCTCACCACAAAAAAAAAAAAGGTCAAGCTGGAAGCAATAGGAACTAGGTCTCTACCTTAACTTGTAACTAAGCAACACTGAATGCAAACTAACACCACTTTTCCCTGGAAAAAGCTGCACTTAGTGCAAGGGCTGGCAAGTTTTCGTGAGGCTGCTGGAGTATCATCGCTCTTACGTGGCTGACTGGACAATTAACATTGTGCAACTAGTAGAAAAGATCTACTGGAAAACAAAGCTAAAGAATAAATGTTATTTTCAAAATCATCACATAGGGTAGACAGCTGCTTTTGTTAAGCTTTAAAGCAATCAAATTTTGACCAGTTGTCGTGTGTGGCTGCCTTTTTGCTCATTACACTTTCAGACAGACATGCTCTCCCTCCTTGATGTACCCTCAAAGCTCTTTTATCTTCAGTGAAGTAATTTAGGAATTCCTGAGTTAAGTAAAAGTTACCTGAACTTCTCCAGCATCTCCAGGACCAGCTCCTAGGCGTGAGGCAGCATTTCTTTTTAGCAGCTTAAAGAGAAATAACATCAGTATTAGTTCTCCTGTTATGACTAGACTAGTTCTGACATGAATCATGATTCAAATAAATATCGTGCAGAATGAACACAGAACAATCAGAAAAATCTTAATTTGTTAGAAAACAATTGCATCTTCAAGGAAAATCACTTTCTGTACCACGCAAAAACAAAACTGCATAGCCATAGTTGTACCATCGCATTTCTATTTTCTACATAGACATGTAGTACTGACATTCATTGAAATTCTACCTTTTTAAGCAGATCTCTGGCTTCTTGTGTGAGGTAGGGAGGCAAGTTGAGTTTACACTTGAGAATCTTGTCAATTGTTTTCTTTCTGTTCTCCCCAGTGAAAGGAGGCTAGAAAGCACCATTGTAATGGGAGGAAAAATAGGACTTGTTCAGGTCTCTTATTTGTGTACACAGAACTCACTTCAGTGATTTATAAAGCAGATAAAATTACAGCAAGTGGGACTTCCGAATAACTGTTCGGATGAGAGCAGCTCGTGACTGTAGTCGACATAAGTACAGTTGTACTTTAGTTACATTTCTTACTTGCAGTCTATACAAACATAGAGGTGTTCACACATGCATCTGGATTAGAACACAGGTAACTACAAAGCTAGGAGGAGAAATACATGCAATTGTAACTGTGCACCTACTGCTCCAGTCAGCATGTCATACATTAATGCCCCCAAACTCCACCAGTCCACAGCACGATTATGCCCACTCCTCATCAAGATTTCAGGGGCCCTGTAAGAGAAAAATTGGAAATATGAAAGTATTTTAACAAGATTTAATACTAATTTTCACTACTAGTTTTCAAACAAAACCACATTTATCAAGTAAAATTTCCACAAGTGACTGAACATATAAACCATCAGTTAAAAAAATGCAAAATTCAGCTATTACCCCCAGACCAGAGTAATACTTTTCTATTTCATCATGCAGCTCACATGTATTCAATTGTTCCACAGAATGTGTGTGTGACTGTTCCATCATGAATAGATTCTTTACATAATCCGAAGTCAGTCAATTTTACATGACCTGAAAATAAATATATAAAATTTAAGACTTGCCAGAATTCTGACATTTGCATAAGTAACATTTAAAAAAATAGGATTTTTTTTTTTTTTTAACATGGATATGGAATAACTCTGAACTACTTCCAGCTATCTTCAATGGCCTGACAAAGCAATACAGCTATAAAATAGAATGAGGTAATCACGCTTACAGATAAAACCTCTGCATTATACCTGCATAAGAACGTGTTGCCACTTGGTGAAGAGAAACAAGACAAACTACCAAAACTTATTCACATATAGAGAAATGTATTTAAACATCGAGATTGTGGAGCATCATTTGGGTAAGAAAGCAGGCTATGGAATTCTCCTGTTTGCTTCAAAGTTCAGAGAACAACCTTCAACAAATTGTAAAGTTCCCTGAATAATTCAGTACAAAGACTTACACCAAGTTGTTTCAGATAACATGGAAATACTGGATTGTACAGATTGCCAGAGTAATCAGCGGCATACAGTCAACGTAACTGCGTTCAGGAATTGCTGCTACTGTCAGGTAGAGCATCAACAGCTAGGTAAGTCATTTCAGCTACAGGTGATTTGGCATCCTGCCTAAACTGCCCTTCCTAACATCTTCGGTCATCCCCACTGACTAAAACGTCACCGGTACTACACCGAAGACACCGATCTTCATGTACTCTGCACTGATTCGGGAGAAGAAAAGTGCCAGGGCTGCAGAGTAGCAAGTCAGTCATTAAAAAAACGCCTGTGTCTATACACAAGGAACTTGGGAGCTTGCTGTGGACTACTAAATCTGAAGAAGCTGTGTTTAAGGGCAAGCAATTAACTCTGGCAATTCTTCAGTGACACCAAGAGCGACAGTGAACATGCCACTGTTCTAAGGAAATTCACGTAGGAGTGAAGTGTTGTGACCTTTGAAGAATTTTTTTCAAATGACTGGCAACATAACTGTTACTATATTTCTACCTTGATGATTAAGCATGATATTTTCTGGCTTCAGGTCACGATAGATGATTCCTTTTTGATGCAAGTGCCCCAGTGCCATTGAGATTTCTGCCAAGTAAAAGCTGAAAGGAAACATATGCCACGAAATTAGCCATACTCCATCACACAAACCATCTTAAGCACTAAGACTATTAAGTATGTAGCAACGGTTCTATGATTCTGTGAAAGTATCATTAGAAGTGCAGGAAGGAATAAAGGAGAGAAACAAAATGCCTTTGAGGTTGGTTTGCCAAAAGGCATACACACTCCAAGATGAACTGCGGTGACTTGGAAGTTCTGTAACTAGCTGGTAAAATTGTGTGTGGATCAAGAACAACAACAAAAAAATATTGCATTTACAGCAAGTCTTTCACAGTCGTTTTTCCCAACACCCAAAACACCTCCTTTATCACAACCCTATGGAACACAGCCTCGCTCAGCAACCAGCAACAGACCCTCTTCTGTAGTAAGACCGGCACAAAGTGGTAAGTATGGAGCACGTACATCTTCCCCAACCCCAGTTAACTGCTCTGTTCACTAGACTATGGCACAAACGAGTAGTTTTCTTTTTCAAGTCAGAATATACCATTTAAGCACTCAGAAAAAACTCCACCCAAACGTATTAATTTACCACAACAGTTTCACTTACCAAGCTGTGTCTTCCATAAATATCCCTTCTCTCTCTAACTGCATAAATAGTTCTCCTCCTGTCATGAGAAAAAGATTATACTCTATTGAAGTGCATTCTACCATTTTTAGTCAGTCAAAAGTCTATTTTCTAGAAAAACTATAAGCAACAGGTATTCTGTCCTGCTCCAGCGAAAGCTGTTGCACAAAAAACAACTGAGAACTTACTATTCTGTTATTCTCGGAATTCTAGCAACTAAAGAAATGCCAAAAGAAATCAAAACAGCACGCTGAAAAAAAATAACAGTGTTCCTGTCCCTGTTTTTTCCTGTTGTTACAGCTTGAGTAAATTGCTTCTAATCTGTGTCTGTTTCCCTGTCCCTGTTTCTAATCTGTCCGTAAGATAACATTTTCTTGTTCCACAAAAAACCTGCATGGACTAAAACCTCAGGTTCTCCGTACAACTGCACGGGATCCAAGTGTAACAAACAGGAATTACAAGCCTGAGGGCAGAAAAGGTATTAAAAAATCTTCCTCTCCTGTACTGTCCTGAAAAATGTTTATTCATTTTTATTTTATGTTTCTATTTTATTTTATTGAAATAGGTTTATTTATGTTAGTCTGTGTGTTCTTAATACTGATGGATTTTACATTTTTTTAAGACACCACGCCAATAGCTGGCTAGCATTTTCAAGCAGTGTTAAGAAACCCAAATTCTCAATCACATAAGACACCAAGAAGCAGGTCACAGAATTTCATATACTGACCACTGAGATACTCAAGGATGAGGTAGAGTTTTCCACCAGTCTGAAAGGCATAAATTAAGTCTACGATGAAGGGATGTTTCACCTCCTCCAGTATATTCCGCTCTGCTTTTGTATGAGCCGTATCCTTTGCATTCCTTACAATCATTGCCTACACAAAGCAGAGATATGTGAGCACAAGAACGTGCTGAACAAGGCAGACTTTGGTATAGTTCCATTCTGAGTTTACTAAATCAAAGCACTACGTATGACTCAGCAACATAATAATAAAAAAGAAAATATCACCACTATATATATATATAAAAATAATAAGTTTCTTGCTGAAATTTAATTCTTTATTTCATAGACTCATACAATAACTTAGGTTGGAAGGACCCTCCTCAGCTATTTAAATTAGCTGCTAAGAACTACACAGACAGAACAATTCAGTTAAAGACCAAACCAACGATAATTCCAACTGTACCTGGATAACAACTGTATAATCACAGATAAAGTTTAATTTTAGGTATATTCTATAATTATGTAATTGTAACAGTTGACGGGAGGGACAGACTTTTTTCCATTCAGACAGCAGTGAAGCGTGAAGGTTCAGGTTACCTTTTTAAGAACTTTCATGGCAAATATTTTCCCAGTGTTCGCTCCAGTTACTTTTCGTACTTGAAACACCTATACGACACCAAAACAAGAGCAATCACGGATCATGACCACATTAGCCGTCCTGTTAACAACAAAATTCTCGGAAAGAGAGACGAGATCACCTACAAACTGCAACGCTGCCGGAAGGAGCAGAGCTGGTGATTTGAGCCAGAACCAGTCTGGGGCATTTCCTGATGCCACTGGCTGGTGAGGCTCTGCCAGGGACCTCGGTCCCGTGGCACCAGCCTCCGCAGCCCTGAGATTACCTTCTGCTAGAATGGACTTTTCAGAAAACAGGATGGGAAGATTAGACCTTGCCAAAGGCAGCAAGCGAGCACTTTACCCGCCTTCAGCGTAAGGGATTTACTCCTGCAGAAAAGAGTTCCTTACCTTTCCATAGCCACCTTTGCCAAGTACGCGCAGTAACTCAAAGCACTCTGGTCGGATCTTTTCTGGACCTCTGTTTACACTAGTTTCTGAAATCTCAAATTTTTCACAATGTTCCATGCCACTGGATAAAACCGAAACAAGAATATAAGACTACCTGATACTCGAAAATGATCAAATGAGAGTAAGCAAGCACATTACTTTCTGAAAAGCACAGGGTATATCTGACATAACTGAATGCTTTGAAGATCTGAAGAATTCTCAGCATCCGAAATTTTATTTAGATGTGTGCAAAGCAGTAAGTTGCACAGAAAAGACTACCTGCAAATTTTGAGGATTTACAGTATTAATATTTCCTTCAGATTCCTTCAGTTTAATGCTTAATACATCTCTGTATTACACTGGAATTAAGTCTAAAAGACTCAAAGTCTCAAACTGACTTAAATACTCCTAGAAGACCTCAATTAAAAGCAAGGCTGTAAGGTGTGTTTAAGTTTCAGATCACATTCAGCAGCCCCAACAGCCATGGTAAGACTTCTGTAACACAAATATAGAATCATGGAATGGTTTGGGCTGGAAGGGACCTCAAAGATCATCCAGTTCCAACCCCCCTGCCATGGACAGGGACACCCTCCACTACAGCAGGTTGCCCAAAGCCCCATCCAACCTGGCCTTGAACACTTCCAGGGATGGGGCAGCCGCAGCTTCTCTGGGCAACCTGTGCCAGTGCCTCTCGCAGAAGAGATTGTAACAAAAGAAGTCTCACAACTGTCAACATGGCACCAAAAAAGACTCATCCATGGTTTAATGATGCTTCAAAATTATGCTGCAGTTCTGCAAAAGACTAACACTGATGCTGCTGAAGTAAACGTAACTGAGCTGTTTGAACTATGGCTGTGTTCTTCTCACAGCATGGTACACTGAAACCATCTGGGAACCTACAAACCAGGTTATGCTACAGGCAGCTGCCCGCTGGAACTCCTTTTCTCCGTTCTCATCTGCTTTAGCCTGCTGGAAAAGCCTGCACCTGGAGCCCTTACAAAATGCACAGAAAATGCAGCGTTCTGCAGACAGTGCGTTACACTGATATTATAAATATTGTGTAAGTACAATAGATAATGTTAGGAGAAACAAGGATTAAAAGACAACAGCAAGTTTCGCCAGAATTTTTTATTATTATTATTATTTTATTTCAAGATACAATCCACAAATTTTAACGTGAAGAAAGAGGGAAACGACTAGAAACAACTCAAAATTGAACAAGAGTGACAAAATTTTCTATTTAACTTAACAGTGTAACAAAATTAGAAGTTCTATGTAGTTGGCATGAATGGTACAGAACATTTTCGAGCAGCAACTTACAGGTCATATTGGCCAACTCCTCCATGGTCCATGCTCTCACTTAATTGACCCTGCGGACGGGTAGAAGGAAGATTAATTATAACAAAAGAAAAAAATCAGCATTAAAAATAGATTCACTGACATGTTTTACAACTTCTTAAATTATATAAATATATATATAACGGTTATATATATATATAATTACCTTATATAATTAAATAAGCCTAAAGGTCAGGAATAATAAACTATCAGCAGAAGATAAGAGATCTACAAAATTCTGTGCAAGATTTGCAGTAGTTCCACATATCTCAAATGGTGACATGTTTCACCTCACTGCATTGCTATTCAATCACTTAATACTGAGGTAACAATTTCACGCACCCCCAGGTGAATTTGTAAAAGGTTAAGGTACTGCATTATTTTTATTTTTTTTACAGTTGTTCTTACATGTGAATTTAAAAACCCTATTACAGTTTATGCCACTTAGAACAATAGTAAAGATGATGTGAATGGATCAACTGGGATTCACACTCACTAGAAACAATCTACTGATAAGGTTTTATTAGTCTATATTGATAATAATCAAATCCCAGTGGTAATGAAAGAATTAAGCTTTATTTTGATGTTAAATATCTTTTCTGACCAATAATCAGATAGATTAATGCATGCAAACATTACTAAAGAAGGCTCAAGCACTTCAACATCACAACTAGTGGCCGTTAAAGAATGTAGTTCAATTTTGAAATGGAATTTTCAAAGAATTTTCAACTTGATCCCTTATGCAAGATAATACTTCCCTACGATTGTGGCTCTACATGGCAAAAGAAGAGCAAACCAAGGAGACAGCTGGAATGAACACAAATAGAATTTAATGGGCAAGCTCCTAATAAGCTTTACACTATATCTTAACATTTTAAAAAACATGTACATAAAATAACAGCTACTAGTTAGTGAGAAACAGCCTGAAATCTACGCACTGAATACCAATTTATTGAGTGACGCGTGAAATTCAGAGAACCAGAAGAGCAAAAAACAATAAAAATCCAGAGGTCTGCAAAAAGCAGACCAAGCTGAGGAGTGCATTGTTAAGGATCATAGAAGAAAAACACTAACCCAAGAAAAACAGAAACCTTCAATGGCTTCTAAACCACCTAAAGTTTACAGAGGCTGGTTTATTTTGGTGGGCCATCTTAGAGGGGAGTGTAACTCCCTAGTTCCACCTACTACCACGAGCAATTATGGAGTCTGAAAGTTCAAGTTTGTTTCCAGGTCAGAGAGTTGCTAGCTCCTGGCCTCTGGATAACATTTATTAGCGAAATCCAGCCCACTGACATCTGTTTCACAATAACACTCAGTAAAGCTGCCCTTGACCCTACTGTTAGATGCCAACAAATGAATTAAAAAAAAAAAAAGTCAAACAAACACGGAGAATAAACACCCATCTCATTCCTAGAACAACCCCTCAAGTTACCCAATGGTTCTGGCAAAGTTCACACTTGCTGCTCGTGCCCTGGGAGCGATGGTATTAACTTGGACAACACTCACTTTAGATACCACTCCTCGATTTTCAGGATTTTTTCTCATGTCACAAAACCAAGAAACGCAGCAGTGTTCTTGCTGGAAACCTAGCAGTCCTTCACTTACTGTTTCATTTATTGCAATCACAAAAATTAAGGCTGTTTTTTTCACCGTAATCATTAACTCAAACAACCGTGTGGCTTATGAGTAAACTCTCCGTTTAACTGCTTCTTCAGATTTCCAGAACGGCCGTGCCTCTTCGAAACTACAGCTGATCTGTTCTTGCTCCTACTGGGCTTACACCTTCTGTGAAGTAACAGGGATCAGCACCACAGAGATTGAACAATACTCCAGACTTTACACCTCCCTCCCAGTTCAGTGATCTCACTACTCTGCCTGCAATGCCTTTCTGACCCCTGCATGACACGCACAACGCCTAGAGATAACTTCCAGTTAAACACTTTTCCCCTCACACTTTCCTGACACTTCCCCTTCTTTCCTGCTCTACCATTCCCTGCTCTTCAGTTCTAGTTTAATTTCAAGTCCGTTCTCATCCTCCTTTATCTGTTTGCCAAAAGGCACCTGAAAAACAAATCAGGTTGCCAGTGCGTATTCGTGTCCACAGTTCTGCCATGAAAACTTCGGTCATAGCAATTTTTTTAAATCCACAATAAGCGATGAATTTTTTAATTTTTAATTGTTCCCTGAGACCGAGTTACTGCAACATGAGCAAGAACAAATTCAACTTTCTTGTCACCCTCCTCAGAACCTGTCCTTGGCAACATTCACAGTGTGATGCAAGCCACATTCTTTTGTTTTTTTAAGCCAAGGCCTTTATTGATTAATTAGGTGACAGACAGCACTTTTTCCTGCAGCTTGAGAAGGGTTCAAGCCTCCTCTTGTCAAACAGTAAGAATATCTCTACAGTTTACATGCAGTGTGGATATTCCAACTGTGGTACAGAGTTTCTGGTTAGCTCAAAGACTCCAAGAACGTATTTAAACAGCAAACAAAAATAAATGCAGCAGCAGTTTCAGCAGCAGCAAATGTTTAATATACAAAACGCTATAAAAAAGCAACATTAGCACTAGAAAAACATAAACAGAGCTCCTGTAATAGAACTCCCCCCAGGCCTTAACAGACTCTAGGCGAGCGTTACAAAACGACAAACTGCAGATGGCACGGGGAACCGTTTGCAGCAGCATGCGATGGAGATGCACGCTGGTCCGGACAGACGCCCAACGCAGCACTTTAAAGCTTCGCTTTTAATTTTGGCGCTAGAGCAGCGACTCTCCACCGTTCCAAAAAAGATCAGCATTTCTGCACTGACGTTAAAACATGTGACACGGA